ATTTAGAACATTGATTTTAAATTATACACTTATTTGTTGAAGACACAATTGGATGTAATTTCAATGCATTCTTTATGTGTTGTACGAACCTTTGAAACCGAGAAACCAAGCCTTTCTTTGTCTGATTACACACTCCAATATTCTATGACTTTTAATGGGGCAAACCTCAAGAGGAATTAATTGTTATCGTGACAATAAAGGAGACCTAGTCATACTATTTAGTTAACCCTAGACATTTCCCATTATGAGCCTTGAGATTAGGCTTACATTGTTTTTCACAATATCAAAATTAGGCGCTCAAGACCCATTATATTTGATCACATTATTAGTGAACTTAAGTATCATTAGATGGATCATAATATTAGTTTATTTTTGGCAAAATAAAATTTACAATTGATTTACAAGAATTTATAGGAAATTCCAACATAAAAAAAGTTTATCTTTAATTAGCAAATTGTACATAAGTTTTGAAGCCAAAATATAAATAACAATGATAAGACATAATATTATGATCATGTGTATCCTAATTTGGTGAGACCAAATTCACCATGAAATTTTCAAAACAATTCATTAAAGCTTAAAAAAATCCATCATACAAATAATCACAAAAATTTCAAGACAATATAATTAAATCTTGAAAAAAAAAATTATCATACAAATAATCATAGTAAATAGATGAGTTGGAAGCTTGAACATCCATATGCCCATTAAAACCATTTAGATACCATACTTTGGCTTTCATCTTGTTAGAAAATGATGATTATCATGTTAAACTACATCCATAACATTATTTCGAGCATCCATCACATCATTAGGTAATAAGATATACCTTGTATTACATACAACATGCATGCTAATTATAGACTCAACCTTATTACCTAAATAATATACATGTTTAAGTTGAGATTTATAGGCTTTATTAGCTTGCACAACTATAGTTAACTTTTTTAGGGTTTTAGCCAATAAAAGTCTACAAAAAGATAAAACTTGTATCTTTTATTTATTTATTTTTGTTAAAGTTGAGACCATTATTTTGTGTACTAATTTTGCATTCAAATTAGATGTGTCCTTGATTGCATGAGATTTGTCTTATCATAATTGCACTTTCTTTCTTATTATTATCATCTTTGACTAATTTGTATTTGTTTCCATTTTTTGTTTTATAATAACATGATCAGTTGATCTCCATGTAATGAGTTGCGATTCAACATTCCAATTGTTCCACCATTATTAGGTAATATTTTTTTCAATGATTGCACTTGTTGTTTCTTCATAATGTTAGTCGATATAATTTCTACTCAAATAGACTTAATATTTTTTATTTAAAAAATGATGATAAACCTTTTTTTCTTTGCTAACGTTCAATATCTATTATTTTGCATACTAACTTTGCATGAAAATTATACGTTTCCTTGGTTATATGATATTTTATTTCTTACCATTATTATTCATAATTGTTTTCGCTTTCTTATTATTATCATTCTCTTGTCCTGTTTCGATTTGAATCAACTTTTACATTTTACAGTTAATCAATCCTTATGTATACATGAATCTTTGTACAACATTGTAACCGTTTCACCGTATTTATAAATCAATGATTGTACAATTATTGCTTCATAATAAAAACAACAATAATTGCTACCAAAATAAATGCATCAAAATTTTGAGGCACAATAACTTGAGATTTTTTTATATTTTTTATCATTATTATTTATAATTGTTTCCTTTCTAATTATTATTACCCTTGTCTTGTTTTAATTTGTTTCAATTTTTATGTTTTACTTAATGAACCCTTGTACAACGAGTCTTTGTTTGATATTATAATTGTTTCACAATCATTAATAAATTTGGCAATGATTACACAATTTGTTGTTTTATGAGTCATATGTTAACAACAATAATTTCAGTAAGACTCAGAAGTTTGGAGGCACCACAATTTGAGACTTTTGCTTCTTCTTATTATTATTCATAATTATTTTTCTTTATCATTATTATCATCGTTGTCCTGTTTTGATTTGTATCAACTTTTACATTTTACTGTTAATCAATCCCCATAACGAATCTTTGTTCAATATTTTAATCGTTCCACCATTATTTATAAATTAATGATTGCACAATTGTTACTTCATAATGATAACAACAACAATTTCTATCAAAATAGACATACTTAATTACCAAAATTTTCAAACAATACAACTTGAATTTTTTTTTTTTGTTTTTTACCGTTATTATTCATAATTGCTTCCTTTTTAACTATTATCACCCTTGTTTTGTTTTGATTTGATTTTTTATTATTTTTTATATATGTTTTACAATTGATCAATTAACCCTTTATAACGGATCTCTATTTAATATCGTAACCATTTCACAATCATTAATAAATTTGACAATGATTACACAAATTGTTGCTTTTATGAATCCAATGTTAGTAACAATAATTTCTACCGAAATAGGCTCATTAAAGTTTGGAGGCACCTAAACTTGAAGTCTTTTGTTTCTTACCATTATTGTTCATAATTGTTTCCGTTATAATTATTATCATCCTTGTCTTTTACAATTTATTTTGATTTTTATGCTTTATAATGATTAATCAATATGCATATAATGAATTCTTGTTCAACATTGTAACCACTTCACCATTATTTATAAATCAATTGCACAGTTGTTGCTTCATAACGATAACAATAATTATTTCTTCCAAAACAAACTCATCAAAATTTAGAGGGCACCACAACTTTATCTTTTTTTTTTTTGTTTTTTTACCGTTATCATTTATAATCGTTTCTTTTCTAATTATTATTACCCTTGTTTTCTTTTAATTTGTTTCATTTTGTATATATGTTTTACAATTAATCAACCCTAGTATAACAAATCTTTGTTTAATATTATAACCGTTTCATAGTCATTAATAAAATTGATAGTGATTACACTAATTGTCATCGTGTGAATCATATGTTAATAATAATAATTTATATCAAAATAGGCTCATTGAAGTTTAGAAGTACGACAACTTGAGGTTTTTGTTAACGTTTCTTACCATTATTATTTATAATTGTTTTCTTTATAATTGTTATCATCTTTGTCTTTTTTGATATACGTTTCAATTTTTATATTTTATAATTAATCAATCCATATATAAAAAATATTTGTTCAACATTATAACCGTTCCTTCGTTATTAATGAATTTGTGAAAGATTGCACCAATTGTTGCTTCATAATGTTAGCAACAATAATTGCTACCGATAAAGGTTCACTTAAATTTGGAGAGTTCACAACTTGAAATTTTTGTTTCTTTTATCGTTATTATTCATAATTAATTTTTTTTATAATTATTATCAATCTTGTCTTATTTTGATTTGTTTTTATTTTTATAATTTACAATTAATCAATTATTGTATAACGAAATCTTGTTTAATATTATAATCATTCCATCATTATTAATAAATTTGTCAATAATTGCATTAATTGTTGTTTCATAATGTTATAGTAACAATATCTTTTTTATTATTGAAATAGATTCATCGAATTGGAAGCACCACAAGCTGAGCAAATGTCAAATTTAGTGAAATTTTAGACATCTCCTAGATTTGCATGCAGTCTCCGCCAAGTGAACGTAACTCCTAAATCTACATGCAGTGTCCTTTATGCTTAACCTACTACTAAATTTCAACCATACTTTATGACAACAAGTTTGTTGATATCAACTTCAATACATACCCATCAAATTAATCAACCACGTCAAAGTATTATTATCAACTTTTATGAGAGCACAAAATCAATCCAATAAAATCGACTCCCTAGTTTTATCATTTTTTGTTGTCGAATAGAAAATCTAGCATCCAAACTTGCACCATGAGATAAAGATTAAAAAAAAAAAAAAAAAATTCATCCACAAGGCTTCATCCATTACTTTGAGACAATCAACTTCAGTATCAAATTTGACCATAAAGTAATCATTTCCTATATTTAGATTTTCGAGCCTAGCCATCGACTTCTCTGAAGGAAAATCTACTTTTCTTTTTGCACATCAACCTTGCTATCTATTAATTCAATGTTCATTCTTAGCCTCCACTTCTCATAAAACTCCCCAAAGAAAATCATCTCTTGAGATGAGTCATTGCATAAACCCTAACTAGCTGTCCCTTACCTTAATTTGTTAAAGTATATACATCCCTGAATAAAATATTGTTTTACTTGTATCAATACACTCAGTCTGACTCTATAACTCAACTTAATAATGAACTTTAAACCAAGTATATAGTACACGATCGATGGAGGAAATTGCATAATTCACAAGATAAACCTTTTTATTTGGTAGCTTGTTGTCTTTTTCAATTCTTTTGATGTTTTTCTTTATTAACAAATAACACTTATTATGTATATGATTTTTTTTATTTTTATAAATAAACAACTTTATCGATTTAATATTATATATAATGAGTTCTTTTTTATTTTTTTATAAATTGTTCATTAATAAAAAAGAGAGTACGTTTTTACTGTTTAAAATTTATGTTTAAACTTCATCTAAAAATATTTTACAAATTTCAAACTATTAAAAATAAGATGCTTTCTCTAAAAATAATCCAAGGCATTTTCAATTATCTCAATTTCTAAAAATAGAAAACAAGACATTAATTATACATGTTTTCTAAAACTTAAAAAATATGAAAGTAAAATTATTTTAAAAAACAAAATAAATATTTACTTAAACATAATGACTCTTAACATTTTTGTTTGTCACCTCTTTTTTATCTCTCATATACTCGCTTTACCAAGAAAATTAAATTATTGGCGAAGAACGATAAAAAGCCCAGCCACAGCACACAAGATTATTCCTATTTCGAATAATATTAGTCCCTTTTGTGTTGCGTCACGAGAACTGAAAGGGCATCCTGTTGGCCAAAAAAAATATTAGGAAAATATTGGTAGACACTTAATTTGAGGAATACACATCTTAAAAGGGAAAGAAGAAATAAGTGATTGATATCAAACTTAAGCATTTATAAAGTTTTGGATGTTCAAGCATCATCACTCAAAACATTAACACAAGCTAATTATAAATCTATCCAGCACTGCGTTGTAAAACTGGTAGACACGAAAACAACATAAAATGCAAGGCACAGATAATATCATTTGCACACTAAAATTTATCACAGCCTTATTTTCCCTAGTTATATCGAATTTCATTTGTGCAAATAATATCACGAAATGCTATGGTCCTTGTTTCTACTCTATATTTTAGAATTGTCTGAAATTAACTAGTTTTTAAGTATACTAATTGAAATCATCCGATTTAACTGCTCTAGAGGATCCCATGCACTTGACACTTCCTTTTTGTGCAGGCTAGGCACAATATTTCCCTGCATAAAGA